CCCAGCCCCTCACTGGGGGATTCTAGGCAGGTGCTCCACCACTAAGCTACAACCCAGCCCCTCACTGGGGGATTCTAGGCATGTTATTCTGCTATGGAGTCACTCCTCTCAACCACTTAATGGAGGATTCTAAGGAAGTGATAGTCTACCAAGCACTTGATTTCCAGGTCCAAACAGGCAGATTATTCTATCAGATTGGATCAGAGAGAAAGACAGAAGCTGTGTCTGACTGTCTTGTGGCCGCTTTTCTCACCTCCCTGTGTGTCTGCATGGAGCTGCCAAAGTAACGTAGTCAAGACTGAAGAGCACACCCGGATCACCTGGCCCTCGCCCTGGCGGTGTGCCTTCTGGTGTTTCTTCTCTGCAGGCTTCTGCTGGCCCTGTCTCACCACTTCTTTCCTGTAGCTAAAGCTGTCCACATAGGTCTGATCAAAGAACGCCGGGCTCTCATGTTAACAGACCTCTTTGTTTTTAATTGGTAGAACCGGGAGCTGTGGGGCACCTGAGCTTCACGGAGATTTTGGACACCTCTCTCAAGGTCAGCTGGCAGGAGCCCCTGGAGAGAAACGGCATCATTACGGGTAAGCAGCCTTTCCTCTGGAAAGGAGAACGGGAAGTGTGCCCTAACAAGAAGGGGTGGTTTTGTGTCAAACAAAGCTAAGAGTGGAGCTGGCCTCCTGGGAGTAGCTGACATGTCTCCCTGGCTGTGTGGTGGCCATGACCCTGAGGTGGGGCCGCTAGGAGGTGTGGCTTCTCTCCTTGCGCAGACAGCAGCCTCAGGATGGGAGGTTGTCCTCTGCTTCACATACTGCAGGATTCTCTTTGGGCACTGGAATCACATCGCTTTTTGATACCCTTTCTAATGTGTTTAGCTCAGTTCTCAGAGCAATGTGGAAGCCCATTGATATTCCAGCCGTGTTTCAGGTGAGGAAACTGAGGCTGGGAGAACCTGTATTCACACCTACTGTGTGGGTCAATTTCAAATGTGTTCCTAGTAGGGCAGTGATCATAGTGCTGACATCTCCACCTTCTGTCATGAGTTGTAAGGCCAGGACAAGGCCCTGGACTCCTGGCTCCAAATCCCAGATCCTTCCCTGCCCCACCACTCCTTGAGTGAGAAGGAGAGGCCTTGGGGATGAAGAGCCTGAGGCTGGAAGGGGTCCTCAGGTCCCTGGATCTCCGAGTCAAGCTCAGGACAAGCTGCACATGGCTGCTCCTTCACGGTAAACCCCTCACAGATGGCAGGGGCTTGGGAACAGCTCACCTTCACGAGACTCTTTTAATTTATTTATTTATTCACTTTACAAGCTGATTGTAGCCCCTCCCTCCTCTCTTCCCAGTCCAACCCTCCCTCCCTCTTTTCTCCTCTTCCTCAGAAAAAGTGAGCTCCCCACCATTACCAGCCCTCTACAGCTCATCAAGTCACATCAGAACTGAGTGCATCCTCTTCCCCTGTGGGCTGGCGAGGCAGCCTGCCAGGGAAGTGATTAAAAAGCAGGCAACAGAGTCCTTGTCAGAGGCAGCTCCTGCTCCCCTTACTAGAGAATCCACATGAAGACTAAGCTTCCCCCTTCGGTTATATCTGTGTAGGGAGTCTAGGTCTAGTTCATGCATGGTCCTTGGCTGTTTGTTGCCTTTGCAAACCCCTCTGGACCCTGGACACTTGGCTCTGTTGGCTTTCTTGTGGAGCTCTTGTCCCTTCAGGTCCTTCTATTCTCCCCATCCCACCACACTTTTCCATAAGACTCCCTATGCTTTGCCCAATGTTTGGCTGTGCGTCTCAGCATCTGTTTTGATCTGCTGCTGTGTGGAGCCTGTCAGGGGACAGCTATGCTAGTTTCCTGTCTGTAAGCATAGCAGAGTATCATTAAGAGTGTCAGAGGTTGGCTGTCCCCCATGGGATGGGTGTCAGGCTGGGCCAGGCCTTGGTTGGACATTCCCTCAATCTCTGCTCTATTTTTAACCCTGCACATCTTGTTGACAGGATAACTTTTGGGTCAAAGTTTTTGTGGCTTTGTTGCTGTTCCCCTCCCTCCACTAAGAGTCCTGTCTAGTTAGAGGGTGTCCTCTGCAGGCTCCATGACCCCTGCTATGAGGAGTCTCAGCAAGAGTCACCCCATATCTTCCCAGAAGCCTACCCTGTCTAGGCCTCCAGCTTGTCTCAGAGATGCCCTGCCTACGATTTCTCTTCTCTCTGCAGGCCCTTTGTCCTCCTGCCCCTACTCTCCCCAGCTCTGATCTCCACCCTCATTTCTCTCTGTGCTCCCTCTCCTAGGCTGTTCCCTCTCTTCAGCTGCTCCCGCTGACTGTTCTATCTCCCTTCTGAGTGAGATTCAAGCATCCTCCCTTGGGTCGTCCTTGTCACTTAATCGTCTTTGGGTCTGCATCACAAGACTCTTAATGTTTGGTTTGTTTCTTCACGTGACACTGTGTGGGTTGACCCTAGGGCCTCCCGAATGCTAGGCAGTAAGTAATTCCCTGGTTTCCCGAAAGTTGCTGAAGGAAGTTGGTGCTCTTCCACGGAGCTGTGTCTGAGAACTGAGCAGGCATGCCATGCTGAGATAAGATGGCTGAGGTGATCTGTGGCTGCCATCAGGTGTTCTGCTGTGGGCCCCTCCTTCTGTGAGTGTCCTGGACAGCGGCAATGGCCGCTCCAACCATTCCCCTGTGCCATGCCACCTTCTCAACACTGCAGCACCCTGCTTCCCCCTCTGTGACTGCTCATGTCCTGTACCCCAGCTGGGCATCGAGGACTCTGAGGGTGAAGGCCTCCATGATCACACAGCTGGCATGTGGCCCCGGTAGCCACTTTCTCATCTCTGCGTCACCACATGCTGGGAACCAAGTGCAAACTGTATTCCTGATACACCTAGAAGGTCCCCAAGCCCAGTACTACAGAAACACCTAGCAGTGCTGTGCACTAAGTCCAAGTGACTTTGGTGTGTGTGCACAAAAATGTACAGATAACATACTTAATAATAACACATATGTGACCAGGCTATGACCCAGTCAGTGAGGGCCTGAGTTCAACTCCCAGAACCTGTTTTAAAAAGCCAGGTAGGGGCTGGAGAGCTGGCTCAGAGGTTAAGAACACTTCTTGATCTTACGGAGGACCTGGGTTCAATTCTCAGCTCCCACGCGGCAGCTCACAACCATCTGTAACTCCAGTCCCAGGAAATCTGATGCCCTCTTCAGACCTCCATGGGCACCAGGCACTCATGTGGTACACAAACATGCATGCAGGCAGAACACCCATGCATATGAAATAATAAAACAAAAAAAAAAAACATTTAAAAGAAAGCAGGAAGACCCACAGGGTCAACTAACCTGGGCCCATGGGCGCTTACAGAGGCTGAACCACCAAAGAGCATTCACGGCTAGACTTAGACCCCCTACAGATGTGCAGCTTGGTCGAGTGGGTCCCTTGACAATTGGAGTAGGGGCTGTCTCTGACTCTGTTGCCTGCCTTTGGATCCCTTTCCCCTAACCAGCTGCCTTGTCTGGCCTCAGTGGGAGAGGAAGCACATAGTTCTGCCTCACATTGATGTGCCCGGGCAGGTTGGTGCCCATGGGGGACCTCCGCAGAATGGGGGGAGGGGACCGAGAGGGTGGGGCTGAGAGGAGCAGAAGGAGGGGAACTGTGATCAGGATGTAAAGTGCATGAATAAATAAGTGTATAAATAAACACGTAAATGTATAAATAAACACGTAAACAAACAAACACATGGGGGCAGCCAGGTGTGGTGGTCCATGCCCTTTAACCTCAGTGTTGGAGATACAGAGACAGGCAGGTTCTTAGACTCTCTAGCCAGCCAGCCTAGCTTTGGCTGGATGAAAGCCACCGGGAGGACTTCCTCGAGGACTTTCTCCACACAGTCTCAGCTGTCCTCTGGCCACCACATGCACAGAGACGCAGAAGCATTGGCACAGACAAAGCTAGGGGAAGCGCTGTACAGTGTACTCTGGCCACCTCCTGGGCACCGCCAGGCTGCTCAGTCCAGGGTCCCCATCGGGCTCAGCCACCTCGCTTCGCATGTCACCTGACTCTCTGTAGTCACTGCCCAGATCCCAGCCGCACAGAGATAAGATGTATCCACATGACAATCTTGCAACCACTTCCTCAAACTGGCTCATGAAGTAGGGATGGGCAAGAACCTGCCAGACTGTCACTGCCACCGGAGTTCTCAGCAGCCAGCCAAGGAAGCTCAGGAAGGGGGACTCAGCTCTGTCCCCCAGAGCCCCTCACCTTGGTTCTCGGATCATGTATGGGGCCCCAGAGCTAACCCACCTCACACCCCCAGCCGTTGGGCAGCACACTCACCCCTGCCCACCTGACTCTGCCAGTTCTGGACAGGGCCCTCCCTCCGGGACCAGAGATGGCTGCTGCTGGGGTAAGGCATCGGAGCCCAGGTCTGTTTGGGTGTGCTTCCCAGTGCAAGACAGCAGATACAGAGAGTGTAAATAAGATCGCCTCCCCAAGCTTGGAATGGAAGGAAGCGAATCCAGGAGGGGACAGACAGGGACTGGATGGGCAGGAGACCTGACACAAGTTGGCATGGTTTTATGTCACACGGAGGGCAGACACGGAACAGAGAGAGTGCATGGTGCATGTATGTAATAGGAGCTCTGTGGGGTGTGGGTGTGTGTGTGTGTGTATTAGAGAGAATGTTCATGTGTATTTAGATGTGTGTACATATTGTGTGTATGAAGGGCAGAAGACATGCTCAATTGTCTTTCTTCAGGCACACTCCTAAAACAAGGTCTCTCGCTGGCCTGGGACTCAGCAAGCAGGCTAGGCTGGCTGGCCAGCCAGCCCCTGGGCTCCATTTATCCCTGCCTCCCCAGGACTAGGACTCCAAACAGATACCGCCCTTTACGTGGGTCTGGGGCACTGAACTCAGCATCTCACACTTGCAGAGCACATGTGAGCGAGGCATCTCCACAGCCCCAGAAAGGAAGTCTTCCCAGCTCAGACCCTGGGTTCAGACCTAGGGACTGAATCAGGACCTTGCTCGTCATTAATTTTGAAAATGTCTGGCTCTTTGATCACCTGCCCCCTGAGGGAGGTGCAGCCTTACCAGGCCACAGAGGAGCAGCCAGACCTTCTGAGACCTGATAGGCTAGGGTCAGAGGGAAAGGGAGGAGGAACTCCTCTATCAGTGGACTTGGGGAGGGGCATGGTAGGAGATGAGGGAGGGGTGAGGTTGGGAGGGAATGAGGGAGGGGGCTACAGCTGGGATACAGAATGAATAAATTGTAATAAATAAAATAAATAAATTAAAAAATGGAAATGAGCTCAATAAAAAGAAAGAAAGAAAATGGGGCCACAGAGTGACAAGCAGGCAGCCTCACCTGCCAAACCGGCCTGGAGGCAATCTGCTGTGTTCTAAAAGAGGGCCCAGACTCTTTGGTAGGCAACCTAACCCAGAGGGGCCGGCCCGCCCCAGATCCGTACCCCACCCCTCCCGAACGTCCACGTTCCTCCAATACTGCCCGCACTCTTCATTCTTGTTTTATAGCTTGAGGGGAGACCGGTGGAGCTGCGCCAACATTCCATGGCTGAGAGCTAGTTGCCAGGACCTCCAATTTATGATCATCTGCTCTCGCCAGCTAATGGGGCCTAATGAACTCATTTTCATACTTTATTTAAACAAATACCTGTAGCCACAGGCGGCCGGCTAGTGTTTATGATGGAGCTTGACCCTCAGAGCTCGGATGGTTCCCAGCTGGATTCTGCTGGCCTGCTTCCACCATGGCTGAGTGGAGGGGCCGCCCCCACTGTTAGTGGGAGCGTCAGGCTGACTCTGCCCTTCACATCAGGACCAAAGTTGTCCACTCCTCGCTGTCTGGCCTGTGCTTCTCCACTCCAGCCCACACAGTTCAAACACATGTCCTCGGAGGCCGCCTTCTGAGAAACACCATAGAGGATGCTCCACAGGGTGAAACCGAGTGACAGTGTCGTTAGCTGGATGCCACCCGGCCCCATTCCCCTGTGACACCCGCCTCCAGTGCTGCTCTGTTCTCCACACACCATGCCCCCAAACCATGAATCCTCCCTAAAACAAGCCCCAAGAAGGTCAACGCTGTGCTGAAGGAGATGGTTCAGTCAGCCCAGCACGTGCGTGTGGACCTGGTTCCCCAGAGCCCACGTGAAAAGTCAGGCACACAGAACACACTGTATTCCCATCACTGAGGAAGTAGAGCCAGGCAGATCTCACAGAATCAGTGAACTCGGAGTTCAGGAAGACACACTGTCTCAAAACTTAAGAGGGAAAGGGAGCGAATAAGTGGACCTCTGGCCTACACCCATGAACGCACATACCAAAGAAAACTGCTTGCAGCCAAACCTGGCCCTGTGAGCCCAGGTCAGGGAATGCCAGCCTGTACCTCCCGCTTCCTCAAAGACACTATGTGCATAACTCCCCACAGCTGAAGGCAGCTTCGGGATGCACACACAGTGACAGGGTTGGGCCTGGGCGGTGTGACCTTTATAGTGGGGTGTTTGTTGGGAATGATACTTTCTTTATCAGCCTGGCCCTCGGTGCCCACTCCCATTCCATGCCTCCATTTTATTTTGTGGCCAGAACGAGTAGGAAGCTTCGAGCCAGGGTGGCGGTGCACCTGCCAGCGTAAATTGCCCATTGTGCTCTTGTTGTAAATTGCGGTATCTCCCACTCTGCCCCTGTAAACTCTGATTTATGAGGGCCGGGATGCAGACAGACAGCCTGTGATTGGATGCACTACTCTCTTGTAGAGAATTTACTCCAGATCAACAGAAAATTATTTCTGAAGCTCCCGTGGTCGTTAGTCTCAGTTAGCCGGGCGTTCCCAGACGGTGGGAAGCAGTTGGCGATAACTGGGAATGCTGGCTCCAGGCGACTCCTTGCTGTGCTCTCCCCTGTCACAGCTGGATGAAGCACTTGCTGCCCAGAGCTGCCCGAATGAATCCCCTAGACAGGTCTCCAAGGCTGTGTGTGAGGGAGGGAAGGCCTCCTTATACACCAAATGCCCGCTGTTCTGCCCTGTGGCAATATCTTGTTATACCGTTCATCAGGCTTTCCCAGGCAGGGACTTCACTCCACTGGTGCTGATCTTATACTCTCCAGAGCAGGCTTAGGGACAGGCAGGAGGGCGCATGTGTATAGATGTGGGAGCCAATGAAAGCCAGAAGTCAACCTCGGGTGTCGATCACCAAGCACTACCCACCTTGACTTTTGAGGCTCGGCCTGGTACTCACCAGTTAGACTAGGCCACCAGGCTGTTGTGCCAAGGGATCTGTCCGTCTTCAGCAAAGACTCCTCTTCCGGGGTCCTCAGAGTGACCCGGAATCTCACGCTGTTTAGATGTTAATCAGGCAAAACCCAACAGAGCCAGGGGTGACCTTGGAATCCAGTCAGGCAGAGAAGGTGGTCCTGGAGCAGGGCTGTTGGCTTCTGGCGAGCTCCTGGGGCTCCCTTGTTTGTTTCTTCCTCCTCCGTTACATGCAGGTCACATAGTCTCAGTGTCAAGTGTGTGCCCTGTGGATTGCGTAACTTAGACCAGCTGACATGCTTGGGCCGTACTCTGAGCCAGGCTCTCCCTCTGGAGCTCAATGAGTAGCAGGATGCGCCCTTGTCTCAGGAGGAGGCGTGCACCTCCTACTCGACATAGGATGGACCAGCATCACAGGCCCTAGTCCTCACAACACAAGTGCACGGTGCCCTCGTGCTGGCCTCTCCTTGGAAGAGCAGCAGTCATTGAGTAAAGAAAAGGTTTGATCACCTCCCCCTGAGGGGGGACAGCCTTACCAGGTCACAGAAGAAGACAATGCAGCCACTCCTGATGAGACCTGATAGACTAGGATCAGAGGGAAGGGAGATGGACCTCCCCTATCAGTGGACTGGGAGAGGGACATGGACCTCCCCTATCAGTGGACTGGGAGAGGGACATGGGTGGAGAAGAGGAAGGGTGGGATTGGGAGGGGAGGAGGGAGGGAGGTACAGGGAGGATACAAAGTGAATAAACTGTAATTAATAATTAAAAAAAAAAAAAAGGCCAGGCATGGTAGCACACAACTTTAACCTAGTGCTAGGGAGGCAGAGCTAGGTGAATCTCTGTGAGTTCGAGGCCAGGCTGGGATACATAGTGGGGCCCTATCTCAGAAAATAAAATAATAGGATAAAATAAAACACAAGAAAAAGTAGAAGTGAATTGGTTGCAGCCCTAGAGCAACACAGTGTTTGATGATGCTATGGTTATGTTCCTCCTTATTTAGAGCAATAAACAAGTTTGGCTTATAGTCGGAGGGGTGCAGGCGGAGCCACTCACACCGCACCCCCAGCCCGGAGGCAGAACCAGATGAACGCTGGGGCTCAACTCTTCCTCCCCTTTCTATTCAGTCCAGCCCATGAGAAGTACCACCTACATGGAGGGTGGGTGATTTCCACCTCAGTTAATGCGAAGCTAGAAAAGCCTCACAGACATGCCTAGAGATTTGCCTCCTACGAGACTCCAGAGCTTATCAAATTGACAGAAAAAATCAGCCATCACACTGCTACAAGTGGAATTTTAATTGTTTTTCCCCCAAATTTCAAATTAGCCATAAAGAAAGAACTAATTAGGGTACTCAGGTTTCAGCACCCGTGCATGGAAGTTGAACTGGAATACTGAGATCTTAGCACCAATCTGTGGAAGCTGAGCAGGAGTACTAAGCTCTTAGTACCACATGGAATCTCTATGGTGTGGCAGTGGGTGGAGGAGAGACTAAGGCTTGCCAGTGGACAAGAGTGGACTGAAGGTGGCAGCCTGGGACCAACCTTTGATTGCCCCGAGGGGAGAAGGGAACGGGCACAAGGACCTGAGGCCCAGGCAGCCTACACAGAGTAGAGAAGCTTGATGCTCCATGCACTGGGAGAGACCCACTCCACCACTGGCCAGTGGAATTCGAGTAGCTAGGGGAAGCCAGGGCCTCCGTGGGCCAGCATCTCTCCAGTGGTCTCTGCTGCCTTGCTGTTCCAGCTGCACCCCCACCCCCACCATCTGAGTCTCCCTGAGGGTGCCTGGTAGTTACCACACTGTGTGATGACTGTGGGGGGGGGGGGGAGGGGGGATGAGTTCTGACATTAAATTTTTTTCAAAATATTAAAGTCCCGAGGCGCCATCCTGTAAGTTTCCGTTCACCCGCAAGAGCAGTTTCTAACTTTATTTATGGCTTTCATCTGAGTGAAAGGGAGCCGAGATGCGTCTTAGCCCCGAGCTGATTGACTGAGGAGAGGGAAGAGCTGGCGTCCTCAGCAGTTTTCCTTCGCCCGGGGACCCGGGAGCTCTCTCCATCACTGTCCCCTCTTTACGAGACACTTTAAGCGCCCTCTAATCCCATCAGCTCCCCTCCGAAGGGTTGACTTGGGCACCAGTTGGGTCTTTTTTCCTCTAAGCCCCAAGTCATGATGGAGTCTGAGGCTGAATAAATTGTGATCAAGAGGCCCTGCCAGCCCGAAAGGGGAACTGGGAGGAAAATTAAATTTTTTTTTTTTTTTAGAAAACAGAATCTTCAGTAAGGAGAGAGGCAAAACTCTAAAGCAAAGCAAACCTGAGGGGGAAAGGGGTGGAGACAGGACAGGTAAGAGGAAACCAGAAGAGTGGCCTGTCAGTCACCACACAAAGGAAAAGAAACGTGCACACAGGGTAGAAGAGTTTCCACACCTGAGGTGGGACCCCAGAGTGAGCCGCCAATTTGGGGTGGGGGCTGGGCAATGGAAACAGCAGTTTATGCAGGGTCTCCTGATTCCACAGGCAGAGCTAAGCGAGCATCGCGGGCTGGCGGTCATAGCTGTCACTCTCTTGTCGGTTCACCAGCTCTGAGGAGGCTTCTGTGAGAAGACCCTGAGCCTCCTTCCAGTCACCCCTGAGTCTGTGTGCTCTCCCGCTGTGCTGGAGGCCCTGCCTCAGCCCTGCCCTTGTCTTTGCAGGCTATCAGATTTCCTGGGAGGTGTACGGCAAGAATGGCTCTCGGCTCACGCACACCCTCAACAGCACGACCCACGAGTACAAGATCCAAGGACTGTCCTCTCTCACCACCTACACCATCGATGTGGCCGCTGTGACGGCTGCGGGCGTGGGTCTGAGCACGTCGTCCACCATCTCTTCAGGGGTACCCCCAGGTCAGTGAATCGTGGTCTACAAACTTTGCCTGTGCTCATGATCTCTGACCCTTCCAAGACTGTGGCATTTCCAGGTAGAAGCCACCAAGTGCCTGGAGGGCACAGAGCCGGACTAAGCCTCCTGCTGAGCCCTGTGAAAGCTCTGATCCTGTGTCACATGAGACACTCCCACCCCCACCACCCCCCACCCCAGTCCTGGCTCAAACATCTAAAAGACCATGAAGCTTAGAGCTTTAACGCCATGAAACGTTAAGAGCTGGAGGTATAATAAGACAGAGTGGGGCTAGCGAGATGGATCCGCAGTTAGGAGCATGTGTTATTGCTTCAGTGTCTGGCCCCCACGTGCTGGCTCCTAGCTCTAACTCCAATTCCAGGGCAAGCAGGGCCATTTTCTGACCTCTGAGGGCACCAGGAACACACAAAACACATACCTCCATGCAGACAAAGCACTCATGAGGAGAAAGGAAGACAGGTGCAGAGCATGGGTGCCGAGTTCAGCAAGTCACCGTGTTGCAGGCGCTGCTCAGTAGGGAGGAGACAACTTAGGCTCCTTCCAAGTCCTGTTAGTCTGACACTCACAGGCTCTTCCTATACCTGTCGCAGCACAGAGAAAGCACCCCTAGCTTTCTCCAGCTTCAAAGCTTCTGCCTAAGACGGAGGTGTGTTTCCAGAAATCTCACAAACACGCGTGAATATAGGCATGGGGTCTAAATTAATGCTGTTAAGTCTCCTACCTACCGTTTCAAAGGCCTCCCCTGCAGGGGCTGGAGAGATGACGCAGGGATAAGAGCATTGCTGCATGAACAGGAGAGCCTGAGTTTGGAACCCCGCACCCACATAAGAAGCCACGTATAGCTGCAGCTCGAACCCGTAACCCCGAACCAACAGGGACGAGGCGGAAGCAGGATGGCTGGGGCTTGCTCGCTGCCGGCCTAGCTCCACGCTCACTGAGACACAAAGGAATGAGGTGGAGAGTGATAGAGTGACGACCTCCTCTGGGTTTTGTATGGGCACAGACGTGTGCTCTGCACACACACACACGCACCACATACACAGTACATGTGGGTGTGCACACACGTCCACACACGCACGTGAGTTTGCCTTTTTTGAGAAATATGACAACCTTATTCATAGAGGCCCAGAAAATTCACATGAAGGCGACTCATGTTTGCTCCTTGCTTTCGGTCAGTTTCATAACCTGACTGTTTGTTCTGGAGAGTGCCACATTCGTCTAAAGATATGTGAAACCAGTGAAACCTGTGCCCTGGAAGGAGCCCCGGGAGCCCCGCATGTCCGCCCTCGCCTCTCCTCACGTGCCACTCTAAACATACTCCAAGTTTATATTTCATGCGGAGGCAGGAGGAGACTGAGGAGCAGCTGGAACCATGAGATGACTTCTCCTGCTGCCTGCCGGGGATGGAGCTCCTAGTCTCCATCCGCAGGGGGAGGCGGGGCCAAGCCTTTCTTTCCACCCGCAGATGGTGGCCATTGCCCCAGCTAGTGGCCCTGGCACTGACATTGGTACCAGAAAAACAGGTGTTTGTCACGCCACTAAGAGTGGAACCATACCCAAGGAACTAGCCTGTGGAGGGCGGGGAGGCTCCTGAGCTTGCCTCTGGTAAGCTCTCCACCCCATAAACCCAAAAGACCATCCCACCAAGGCAATACGGCATCGTTTAAAGTCTTCTGCCTTCAGGAAGATTCCTTTTAGAATGTTTCGTATGTATTCGCTCCTCTTGCATGTGGGCCCACGTGCACACACGCGTGGGATGGTCGGAGGCCAACATGGGGTGCCTTCCCCAATTCCTTTTCATCTTATCCCAAGACAGGCTCTCTCCCTGAACCTGGAGCTCACTGGTTGGCTAGAGTGGCCGCCCCGGCAAGCTTCCAGGATCCTCCCGTCTCCGCCTCCCAGAACTGAGATCGTAGACGTCAGGACCACACCTGACTCTTTATGTGGGGTCTCGAAAGGGTTTCCAGCCCCAGAGTGTCTTGGCGGTTGGGGAGCAAAGTCACACCATGCAACAAACCTCACACAGAAGGTTTTGGGGGGGAGAAACACAGAACGGCGGCTGCCTCTGAGCGGGAACAGACAGCAGCAGGCTGGACCAAGGAGTGGGCTCTTGAAGGGTGTTTGGAGCATGCACAGGCGCTAGCGGAAAAGTTCAGCATGGCTGGAAGTATTGTTGGACATTGGCCCTGAGGCATGGGGTGGGGATTTCCAAGCCCCAGGTTCAGAGACGGGCCAGGGGCAGGGTGATTTTCCACTGGCCTGTTATCCTGCATTCTGAGGGCCTGACTTCAGTTCCTCATGCTTGTCCAGCCGGAGCTTTAACAACTGAGCCATCTCCCCAACCCATACTCCGGCCCCCATCACACAGACCCCCAACCACAGATTTAGAATATCATTAGGACATGCTATTCTCCTAGCAGTGGCCCTGATGTGGGCACTGCTTGAGGGGTTAAAAATAGAGCCTTGCACCAGGAAGAACTCGGGCAGCACATCTGGTGCGAGTTACAAAGTTCTGTGGCCCGGATGCTGTCCAGCCATGACAGGGAATGAGGGCACTGACCTCTGGAAGGCACCTACACTCGGCATTACTGTCTCTGGGCTGTATGTCACCTGGAGCTGCAGAGGGAGGGTCAGAAGGAAGATGGAGGCGACTATGCTTTGGGTGAGCCTCATAGCCGCTGTGGAGGGAGACTGCTGAGGTGCCGCTCAGGCCAGATCACCTGTAGCTGGAGGGCTGTGCCAAGACACTAGATAACACCCTGAGTAAGGCAGGAAGAGCCTCCTGCTGCGACGAGCCTTTCTGAGGAGCAGGCTTTTGTTTGCCTAGCTGGAGTTTTCTGTCTGTTACACAGTGAAGAGCTGTTATTTTAAGAAGTCAAAGAGCCAAGGACTAGAAAGAAGAGTCACTTGTCCTTCGCTTTAAACATTTTCTGCTTCAAATTCATTAAGCCAGGTACAGAAGGACCCTTGAGATCCTAGAGACCCTGCTTGTGACAATATCAAGCTGTTACCTAAGGGGCTTTATTAGCCCACAGCAAGACCTGCCTTCAAATACCCCAGCAATGCAAGCTAGGACATCGCCCCTTGGAAACCTGAAGACAGCAAATGGACTCTCTTTCCTTCCTCTCTCCCTCTTTCCTTCTTTCTCTCTTCTCCCCCTGTCTCTCCTCTCCCAATATTTATGGCCAGCATCTCTTTCTTTCTTTTTCTTAGACCCTGGATATGGAACCCTGAGCCTTGTGTATGCTATGCCAGTGCTCTACCACTGAGCTAAATCCCAGCCTTGTTTTGGTTTTCTCCTATTTATTTTAATTTGTGTGTGTGTGTGTGTGTGTGTGTGTGTGTGTGTGTGTGTGAGAGAGAGAGAGAGAGAGAGAGAGAGAGAGAGAGAGAGAGAGAGAGAAGGTTTCCTGTATTCCAGGCTAGCCCCAGACCTCCTGTGTGGCTGAGGTTAGCCGTGAACTTCTGATCCTCTGCCTTGTGCAATGCTGGGGGTCAAGCCCAGGGCTTTGTGGTTGCTGAGTGCACACTGACTGCTGAGGTATACCTCCAGCCCTTTGTCCTGTCCTTTTGGAGTAGTTCTTGTCTGCATTGCTTCCCATTTTCTCTCCTTAACCCATTATCTTCCCCTTGGAAATGTCTCGTTTTAAACACTTTGCTGAACTTACAAGTAAGCCTGGCCTGTAGAGAGCAGTCCCCCAGTGTGTCTGTGTATGAGCGGGCTTAAGCCCAGGGACCTCAGGTGACAGGGCTCACCTTCCACCTCATGTCATTTCCACAATAACTGAGTCCAGGAAGGAGTTCTGCGCTGTTGCCTGCTTCTGGTTGTCTTGGAAACCACATGTTTTTATCCTCTCCTCAACCCTGACTTCCGGGGCATCATGGGAGCAGGGAAAAGAAGTCAGACACTCCTCTCTTGGTGCCAGGGTAGGAGCCTGGAGGATGTAATCATGTTCCCTTGTGCCCAACCAGCATCTGTTAATTATCTGCTCTGTACAGAGATGAATAAGGCAGGAGTCTCCTAATGCCACTTCAGATGGCCGGCACCCAGCAGGCCACCCCGTTAGAGGGAGGACCCTGCTGCGAGGCCTTGCTGGGGGATGCTTCTCACTTTCATGGCTTGGCAAACAAGTACCTGGTGCAGTAAAGAGCCATTCTGAAGCTATTTCCTCCCTAACGTGCTTGGCACCCACCTAGGCTGAGACAGACGTTAACCCTCTTCCTGCCTCTCTCACTTCCCTCTAGACCTTCCCGGTGCTCCATCCAACCTGGTCATTTCCAACATCAGCCCACGCTCAGCCACGCTCCAGTTCCGACCGGGTTATGATGGGAAGACAGCCATCTGCAGGTGGATTGTGGAGGGGCAGGTATGTGTCTGTGGCCCATGTGCCTTAGTTACCTTTTTCAGTGCCATGACAAAGTGCCTGACACAGCAGCTTAAGAAAGGAAGGCTTATCTTTGCTCACAGTTGCAGGTACTCTCCATCAAGGCAGGAAGTCATAGGAGCAGGAGACAGCCAGTCACATGACAGTCCACTATCAGGAAGCAGAGAGGAATGATTACTGATGTTCGGCTCATTTTCTCCTTTTTATTCAGTCCAGGACCCCAGCCCATGGGATGGGGACAGTCATATTCAGAGTGGGTCTTCCCACGTCAACTAACTCAGTCTGGAAAGTCCCTCATACACATGGCCAAAGGCATGTCTCGTGGGTGACCCTAAGTGCTATCAAGTTGCCAGTATTAACCACCCCCCCAACATGGGAGTAAGGCTTCCCAATAAAAAGACAGCAAGGACCCGCCCTTGAGCATTGTTGGTGTTCCCAGGCACTGGAGGGACTCTGGGATGCCTAAAAGGGGTTGAGCTTGGAGAGGAAGAGCAGAGACAGGAATGAAAGCAGAGCTGGGGGCAGGATGAACAAAGATGAGAAGACTGGGGTCCTCTCAGATGAACAGAGAAGTGAGAATAAAGGTGAAGTCTCAAGGGTTGTTCCAGCATGGTACCCCAAGTTAGGTCGCATAGCTGATTGGTTTTTGAATTCTCCATCACAGTTAGCCACTAGGACTGTTACAGCGTGTCTGGCATAGAACATCATGGGGTTCAGCATCTTTTCTAGAACAGGCTCTGTCTCGAGGTGCTGTTCTGGGCATGGAGGATCCAGGGGTAGCTTGTGCTGTGGAAGGAAGTGTTCTCTCCTGGGTGGAAGGCCGCCTTCTGCACCATGTGTCTGGAGACAGCACAAAGTGTTAGGAAGTGATAGAAAGATCTGTCACATGGGTCTCAGGATGGGCCATCCAACAGACTCAACGTAGTGCCAAGGGCTGTAACAAGCATGGGAGGCCTGGGCATGTGGGAGGGCTGTGTGTGGATAGGGTCTGCTAGCACGGATGAATACCACACATTCCACATTCTGATTTAAAAGAGCCCTGAGTGGTGAGATCTGGAAGTAGTTCCTGTGTCATTAGATCCTGGTGATTCATTGCTGTTCTTGCACTGGGTTGGAGAAGTTTCTTCTGGGAATTGGTTTTCAGTTAAGAATCAAATCTTACACATACATGTGTAAAAGTTTCACCAAGCCCCATTCTCTGGAAATCTATGTGGCATCCCCACAGTATAAACCATCTGGGGCTAAGACTATTTACTTCAGAAAAATAAGAGGTAACGGTATTTGATATCTAATCAAAAAGAAAGAAGGGAGAGAGAAAGGAAGGCAGGCAGACAGAAAGGCAGAAAGACAAAACTCCCAGTTAATGAAACAAAAATGATGGAGGCAGAGTTTGTAACACTTAAAAGAAAAATGTCTTCAGAAAACTGTCACAGCTCAGTGTATGTTGGTCCTTGTAGCCCAACAAGCACCATGTTGACCAAGGCATCACACAGGCTGTGTTCCCAGAGCATCCTTACACCTGTCTTCCTCCCTCTCACCCCTCCTGATCCACTGGCAGCCACTTGTCCGCTCCTAGCACTACAGATCACGTCTCTTTCTCAGTCAAAAGAGTCGACTGCCCTTTTTCCCGGTGCCGTGTCCTGTTGACAACACCTAGGCCCTGGAGAGGAGCCTGCGTGACTCCTTTAGTGGTGCCACTCAGCACTCCTCTGAACCAGAAGTTCATCACAAAACCTTGATGAGATGTGTCCCTCTATTTTTCCTTTTCCCCTTCCCCCATTCCTGCGTCCTCAGCATATCCTTGGTGCTCTGAGCATGTTGAGATGGATCAAGAGCATGGAACCATGCTGAACAGAGCAGCAGGCAGGAATGAACTGCCTGATGCCTGATTGCTACTCTGTCAGTGTTTTATCTAATGGATTCGTCTATGCATACTCTTTCACCTGAATTGTTTTTTGTTTTTTGTTTTTTGTTTTTTTTTTTTTTGGACATTTAGAATGGTAATTTTTCTCATTCCCTCAACCTTTACTCATTCTGTCCCTGAAACTTTGAAGGCAAGCCCTTACCCTCATCCTTCATATTATTTAGGTTCCCGAAAGCCAAGAAGGCAGAAAATTAATTTAAAAATTATAAAAAAAGGCACTGCCTACTTCTAGCACTCCTACAATTGCAACAATTATGAGAGATATTCTTGTGTGTGTGTGTGTGTGTGTGTGTGTGTGTGTGTGTGTGTGTGTGT